CCCCCCCCCCCCCCCCAATGATAGGCGACAGAATCGTTTGAAGCGCCACGAATTTCGCCGTGCAGCTTGCCACGCCAATCCAGAATTGGAAGAATGTTCCAACCGCCCACACTGGGTGCTTTCAGAGTTCAACGATTCACCGACCCACTGACGGCGTTGCTGGCCACTTGCTGACAACACTGGACCGATGGATACCGCTAACGCGACAGCCTGCCCTGCGTTGTCAACACGTCCCTCAATCGGTGAAACAATGCACGTCGTTGAACTCTGAAAGCACCCGTTTAAGCGCCTCCAAACACCCGTCAAATATAGGGCGCAACAAAAATGTACCTTGGGTCCAGAGCGTAGGTGTTGGGGCATTTCCAGTGTTACTGTGTCACACATTCAAGGGACGTGAAAATTCATCATGTACTTTACGTTTATTTATGCTTCATATAGCGTAGGCCAATAGACCTTTTTCGCCCATACATTTTAACATATCATTAGATGGACATTGACACCAGAGTGCATCGAAAGTATGATTGTACTTACTAGGTCAAAATCAATGATGGAACCGGTTTTCTTTGACAACAGCGAGCATGACTCAAAGGACCCCCGAGCGGGCTTACCGTTACTGTGTCACAAGAATTTTTCATATGATGTTTAGTATTGTAAACGAAAATCTAAAGTTACGAAAGGATGGAAATCAACTCAAAAAGTGGTGATCTGAAGCTACCATTAAAAAGTTACTCGTACTCATTCTCTAAATGGGAATCTGTGAAACATAACCCACTTCTCACCAGGTAGCAGTCCCTTTGCGAGAACTGAAACATGGCCAAAATGCTGATTGAACAAAAATGACAAGGTTTTTGAAATTCGACAAGTGTAGTTTCCATTCCCTTATACTGCCCACAAAGTAGAACTGAAACACGCATACCTAACCATTTTGCTCGAGGATATCCACCCGCAGGGAGGATCAGAAAGGAATGCCTCCCGAAGATCCCGACAACCTATTTTTTCCCATCAGAATCCACCGTGTATTCATGGATCCCCACAACTGCAGGGTCAAGCTGCATGCGCGAGCGGTCGCGGCGCGTGCGACCTCCAGCTCGACGTGGACGTCGCTTCATCGGCAATTCTGAGGCAGCGCCAGCGCGATGGTGGAACTTGGCAGCAAGAGCCCGTACGGGCAATCCTTCGACAATTCCGTGTTTATCATACCTGCCATCGTCATCCTTGCCATAGTCGGTTGGTTCTGTTTCTATTTGCTTTACAACAAGTTTTTATATTTTGAATTTCTTTCTCATCACTTTTGATTTTTCAATTTTTCTTTCTTATTTTTTGTTGAGTGGTTATTGAAACAATCTATAGCCGAGCTCGTTTTGCTGCAGATGCTTTTTATTTATTAGATCTCTCTGAGAACTAGTTAAGGACACAAATAATGCGAGGTACGCGTTTCGAGGCCGTTAGCTCAAAACCATTTCGGAATTTGCTCAGCGGTTACCCGAAAGAAGCTACAAAAAGCTTTTCCCAATTGTGGCAGCTTCCAGTTCTGCCTTGCTCGTATGGGGAGGGAAATCAAGAAATAAGGGTAAAACGATGTTGACAGCTAGTACGCTCCAAGTGCATGTGGTCCCAAACTTAATTCTCTTATTTCTTAGATCTTCCTTGCTTGCGCTTCTAATATGTTTTTTACACTTACCCTTTTGATTGATTACCTTGTCGACAAGTACCTCATTCGACAATACGTTTGGACTTCCTCACTGGAACTTGCTTCTCTTCCTGGTTATGTTTAGTAAAAGTTCTGAAGTTCAGTATAAATGAGACCAACTTGTAAGTTAATGTGCTCTACTGAATGTCTCTAATTGAACAGATTTCCAAAGGAATATAGTGAATACGGAAAAACGCCCATCACTTGATCCTGAGTTCACAAGGTTGTACTTTGAATATTCTACTGTTTTAACTCTCAATAGGGGCATTATTGAGGAGGTCCTATTGCAAAACACATCGTGTTGCAAATCAGTAAATGGATAAAAGTATTATGGTATAAAAGTAATTTTCTCCAATCATTGGAACTATCAAAATAGCGGAAGCGCGTATACTTATAGAAATAGAATTTGCCATTGCGAAGTACTTACTGTATTGCGTTCTTCCCTTTATTGGGTGCTTTGTAGTACCTGCGTCCAACGTTTATCCCAATACCTAATTGGCAAACGAGCAGGCGGATAGGTTTGGGCGTTCCATAGACAGATACTTAAATTTGATTCCTGATTCAAAATATATTCCATATTTATTCAAAATAGCACACGAATGCTACTGAATTCATATTAAACGATGTCATTGCCATGTCATTGCTCATGCCATATTCATGAGTCATGACGCATACTGTTCATCGACCTTTAATTTTGAGAAAAAGGTCGTGATCGTCGTGCATGTAAAAAGTCGTGAAATAGATAGGCCGTTATTTGACTTTACTCATCGTCCCTCAAATTATGACATAACATGATGATTCTTCTGGTGACATTTTCACAAAGGCTATCTTGATTGTCCGCGACGTTTCCCCTTCATCAGCTACGCAAATACTATTCGCTCTAGCTCTATGTGCGGTTGAAAATGAAGAAATGATGTGTGTTTTTCCTGTCCTTTCGAACTAATTAGATACGCTACCCCTACACTTTCTAATTAGACATTTTCATGAATCCAATCAGGTGTTCTTTTACTGACGACACGTGGGATTAAGTATTTTCGAACAGTCAAATTGAATTTAATAACAAGGCCGATGACAAATGTATGAGCTCATTCTTTTTTTTTCCTGTATATGTTTCACCTGGGAAGAGGTGGTGTAGTGGCAAGTGGCGCATTTCACACATGCATGGTCACGGATTCGAATCCTGAATTGATATCTGCCTAGGTCAATCAAGCGTTACATCTCTCCGGGATCGGTTAATTGGTACCAGACTCCTCTGGGAGGATAAAAGTACTGACTTGTACATTGGCTGGCCACCGTTAGTCATTGTATTGGCCACATACTCAATCAATACGCCACTACAGTTCTGAATGGAAGTCGAATGGGTGGGCGCATCCCTCAGACGGGATTGATTAACGCCCCAAAGCTTTATCCTTTTTAGGTTTCACCTACACCTAGCAAACAGAGAACATCGTTTATAATAGAGTCGAAAGAAAAAGGGTTATAGCCAACTTCACGAGCACCTAATACTGCTTAGAAACGTTTCTTAGAAATAGCTTATCTCAGAAAATATCTCGCTCTTTTGTTCCGAATGGTTACGCGCTTTTTGATCGGATTGCGAGTTGCTGGAAGACGATTTAAGAGTCATCCTAAAACCTGCCATGTACTGGGAGGAACGATGTACTCGGCTTCACACATTGATCCTACAACCCAATAAATCACGCAAGCAAATTTATTGATGATTTATTTGAGCTGCGCATACGGAAGTTTTGGTTTGCAGTTGGACTCCCTAGAGACCTTCAATTGGGTGGCCCTCTTCGACTATATCAGCTATTTCAGGGCATCCCTAAGACGAATGGTTAAACTTTGTGGCTGTACTGGAAAAAGAAAAAGCGTAAAAGAGCACTTGCGACTGACTTGATTATGCACATTCGGACTGCTTTTATGCTGAAATTTTCAAAAAAGTGAGATTGACTCCATACAGTTTGCTGGTCCACGGACCGTAGGCGATAGGTGACCGGCATTGTTTGAAATTGTACAATTTCATGACTCGTATTAGGATTTAACATATTTGATGCCTTTCAATATACCTGTTCTGTTTAGCTCTTTTATCTGAACCACTTGCTTCGTTCCTATCTGCGCTAGACTGGAAAATACTGAAAATCACATTTTTTTTATCAAAGTCTGAAGTATAGAAAAGGGTGACAGTACAGAGCGAAGGTATCAAAAAGCATTGTCCGAATTTTGAAGAACTTCAGTAGACAATGTAATTGATTTCACGGCATAACCTTATTTGGCCGCTTTCAGACTTCGACGCCCGTCTGTCTTGCGCGTTGCGTGCGTGCGATGGCGGCCCTAGCCACTTGTTGGCACGTGATCCAGTAATCCAGCGTTGTGAAAAAGTGGCTAGGGCCGCCGTCGCACGCACGCAACGCGCCGGACGGACAGACGGACGTCGAAGTCTGAGAGCAGCCTTTGAGTGCACAAATTTTCATCCGCCAGATATGCGACGCATGGTAGGGGTTTGGGCAAGGCCATGGTCGGGTTGTGGGGTGGTTAGGGGGTCATGCATGCATTTGAATTTGGCATGCAAACCTTTCTGCGCTTCAATGTTAGACAAATAAAAGGCATGTCATAACCGCCACGCAGCCGTACGCAAGCAGCGGGAAATGCTCCTTGTACCCTCCTCTCTGTGGTACTCGTCGAAACTAAAAAGGATGAGAAGTGGGGAAGAGACCATTTGGATGCTGGGTTAAGTGCTACCATGGGAGGTTACCTAGGGGAAATCGATTAAGTTCGAAGTCTACCGTGTATTGCAAATTGTAAAGAAGTTTGAAGCCAACCTTCGATAGTACAATTTAGGTACTTCAGGTGCAAAAGGCGCTACCTTCTCGTATGTTGAATTTATCCTCGAATTGACACGGGCGTAAGCACATAAGATAATTTCTCATTTTTAAACTAGGGTCTGGAGTGCTCGTAGCATTCAGTACTTGCCGTAGAAGTGATTGTGTGATGGGAAGGGGGATTTTTGCAGTGTGGTTTTTTTTGAGTGAATACGGTCATGCAGTTTGAAGCCGAGCAAACAGTCGGACGACTTGTCAAGCATTTGACGCGTACGTCCGACCGTTTGTTGGAATTCGAACATGAATTTCATCACAGAGAAGCTAGCAGCTCGGACTCTCTCCTAACTCGCTGTGTTGATCGGACATCCTTTAATCGATGTTTCTTCCAAAGCCATCTGGTAAAAATTATTCTTGATGCGACCTAGAAATTGCACGGGAGTACGTATGAAGGAGATGTTGGAAATCGTCCAAAATGCCGAAGTGTCCGAAAGATACTGTTCATTCCATATGAGGTCTTTGCATAGTAAATGTTTTGTCGATGATAATTCGCTTGCACTATTGGTTGTAGAAAGCAGCTCGAGGACAAGGGAGCGAGTGCCCTGAAGGCAGGTTTCCGAACCTCGAGACTGACTGAGCGTTTCTAGACGACGATTCGTCTGTTCGGTTGCTCATCCAGTACGTCTGTACTGGATTTTTTGGTACAGTTATTTGTGTTCTCCTTTAGAGGTCCTATCGATGCTTCATGTATGTTGCAACCGAGTTTTCGCCATTTCAGGATTTTGCTCGTACAAGTTGGTATACTCGCTAAAGGCCAAGGAGGAGAGACAGAGCCAACGTAGAGCAAGGCGAGAAGAGAAGAAAACGAAGAAGACAAAGTAGATTTGGCCAAACATATAGGACAAATGGGACGTTCTAAACCCCTTGTTCACATATCATATAGTATTTTTGGTTAGTAATTATGTATTCACTTTATGCAATTTTTGTGTGGGTTATTATTCATCCGAGTTCATTGTTGTGATGTCAAATTCTTGTCATAGATCTAAATTATTTCCTTTAAATGCTCGTTCTTTTCTCGATTTTTAGTTTTTGCTGGTGTTAGGTAACACTGAAACTTTAAATTTTTTGGGTTATAAATTATGGAATTTTTGGGTTGGAAGAGGACCACGGCGGACTTTTCCAAGTGTTGTAAGCATTCATCCTCGATTGTGAGTCGGCTACGGAAATTTGGGGTTCTTTTCGTTGCCGAGGCTGCGAGGACATGGGCTTGTACTCATTGTCCAGTGTTGCAGTAGTCTCCACCCGGTGCTCAATTTTTCTGGAGATTTTAGAATAGGAATGCTTGTAGTAGTTTGGTGGGAAAGCATGAGGGTTGCGCGAGGTCGCTTAAGGTTCAAAAGCCGTGCGGCAGGTGGTTGTCCGACGGTCTATTACAATTCGAAATATGGCCAACTCTTATTGCGAAAGTTATAAGAACATGTTTGAAGTTGATGTCAAAACAGGGATGCCACGGTGCCCGAATAACACAAGTACGGGCTTGGGTCTCGTCCGGAGCCGAAGTTTTGTCCATAACTCGCCAACCTTGTTAAACGGTAAATATTACAGTAAGATTTGTTTCAGGGAGATGGCCACATTGAAGTTGTTATTGATAGACTTCATGAATGTACTTTTTACTAAACGAGGCTACTTATTGTAAAGTTGTAAAAAAACTACATACATGTTCTAGAAATTTCCAAACAAACTTACGTGAATGCTTTTGCCGTTTATGAAGGTAAAGTTCCGAAATGGAGCTTTCTTATTTGCAAATTTTGGTCAAGATATGAGTCGATCAGGCGGGCTACTATTATGAAAACGCTTTGACGACTTCCCATCAATTATCAGATGTATGGGGAACTAGTTGTAAGGTCTGGTTTATCCTCGTTCTTTGTATGAGTTCTACGGTAATCGGCTACCGTTCGTGGGATCAAAGAAGCGAATCGGCAGATTTGAACTATTAGAGTGATTATTCTGCTTTAGTTTACAAGCCCCAAAACAATGATTAAGATCTGAGACACATTCGAAGCCGTTATGAGCCTAAACAGCCGTCAAAACAGCAATATGATATCGTGCCAATTGATGCCGATGCCGATAATGCCGCGATGTGCCTCTGCCGATAGATATCTACAAATGCACTTTATAGCCTTCGAGTTTTTCTGAGCATAATTTTCAATTAGGTTTTCTTTAGAAAAAATACGGGCCATTTTGTCCAAGGGGGGATAGATCAGAACCGAACTCCGAAAAGTATTCAAACTGTTCCTGCAAAAGCACACCTAACCTAAATCTGGTAGGTAGTCTCTATTTTGGAAATGCTGTAATGAAGAAAACGGGGTAATGGTGTCATACGCCCTGGATAATGATTTCCTTGATCAACTGTTGACTCCTTTCACAGCAGTTCCCATTCTTTAATATAAAGGAGCAGAATTAATCTAGGAAGTATTTCATTTGTCCGTTTCAGTCACTGAAAAAACATAGGATGTTGCTGATTAAGAAGTTGCAGAGAAGTAATATCATAGAATAACGAGGCGTACAAGTATTTCAATGGTTGTCGTACGATAGGCAGTCTTTCAAGTGTCGAGGTATGAATTGTGTCTGCTGAAAGCCCCATATCAGCTTATATGAAAGAGGAAAGGACAATTACGGAACTGTAAACAAAAACAGGAACGTAAACTTTTATATCACAGGGGCAGAGGTAACCACCTTACCAGCTTGTGTATCCAAGTTGAGTAAGTAGTTTTCTGATGAGTTTGGACTACCCCACCCATCTCTGTTGGAGGTGATGACGGAGATGCTAGTGCTCAAACCAACTGACAAGGTTGGCTGGTCACAACCATCGTGAAGTCTCTGAACTGCATGTGCCAAATTTAGTGCTCATTCGCTCGGATCCTTGGGAATACAAGGCTCTACTTCGTATTCCAAGAAATTACGATTGTCAGCAGCTACTACCATCTTGGGGAGAAAAATCGACAAGCTTGTCTACGATCCCATTCAAAAAAAGAGATGCGCTATGTAGGCTCGAACACTCGGCCTACACTACGTGGGCAATTCATTCTGCACACACCTAGCAGTTTTATTTTGAAAATTTTTCGACCTTTGTCAGAGGGATTACCTTGCGCTGCATGTGAGTTGAAAGACGGGGGCCTTTGTGCCCTGGTAACCATGACTACTGGAGGCGCCGTATTGAATTCAAGCACGTTTCTGCTAATGTCAATGATTGGACTGAACAAAAAGTGGATCAACTGAATGTCGTTATTCCGAATCAGTGAGTGGTATTCGAATCTCTATCCAAATGCTTCATGTATCAGCGTTGGAGCACTCATTGAAACCCGAGGTACGTTTTTGGTTTTTTCCAGGTTTTGCGCTGTTTCTCTCTGAAACCTTATCCCAATAATCTCCTTTTCTTTGATGAACCTCTACTGAAACAGATCAGTTGCTTATTGGCGGTGAAGATGGTGTGCTGTCGATACTCGACCCAGGCGGGAGTGAAAAAGATCCAATCCTTCTCGAGCAGCCCATAGGACGACCCATTATCGATATTATTGTTGGCGAATTCCTAGCTTCTGCTGGAACCGTACGTTCATGCTTTTCTTGTGATTACTGGGACTACTATTTCTTTGAACTCTGCTGTAGTTCACTTTATACTGCTTGGTCTGTGATTCAGGTATTGGCGGTGTTGACTCCATACAGCCTGACATACTTCAAGCTCCGTCACGGTGAGTATTCATAATGAACTCGTTCGAGAAAGTTTGACTTTAGTTGTGACTTTTCTTCCCGAGCTGTGCCACAAAGTTTTCAACAACACTTTATCGGCTTACCTCTCGGCGCTTGTTGGAGTGAATTTTGTTTCAAAGATGTCTAATATCCCTTCTCAGAAAATTGTTCTTTGCCTTTGGTACCGCTGTGCTTTGAAGTTGTTTGTTTCCTTGGGTGAACGCTAAGATTCGGGCTCCGAAGGCATAAATGACCCGACTTTCAATTTCCCGAACGAAGCCTAGCAGCCTGAACGGAGATACTACTCCAGTTCTCCCAAATTAAACTTAAGTACCTTCCAGCTTGTGGCCTTACCATAAGTCTTTTGCTCCTTCTACTTGTGGTTATAACAGTTGTGTCGAACATCATAGAGGGCAGAAGGATGGTGAACTTGTGACTATAAACGCAAGTTATCAGTTGCCAGGATTATAGCACTTATACATTTATATTATAAAGTGGGACCCGATTCCAGTACCATTCTACCAGTTTTCGTTTCAATTCTCTAGTTTATTTGTGTTATCTTGATAAAGGGTAATTTCTTGGGGCGTCAACCAATCCCGTCCGAGGGATGCACCCACGCATTCGACTTCCACTCGGAATCGTAGCGACGTATTGAATGCGTCTGTGGCCTATACAATGACTTCTAGGCCAGCCGATGTACAAGTCAGTGCTTTTATCCTTCCTGACTAGCCTGTACCAATTAATCGACAGCGGAACGACGGGAGGCTTGGATGGCCCATACGGATAATGATGCGGGATTCGATCCCGTGATCAGGCATCTGTGAAGAGCATCACTTGCCACTACACCGCTTCCGCCCGTTATGTTCGTATTTAAAGGAAACCCCGGTTCATGCATAAGCTGTTGCATAATCGTTTCGAAAATTTTATGGACTTTCTCCAATCAAGCACTGAACGTAGTCAAGAAGTTTGTTAGGAAGATTTTCTAAAAGCACAGTTTACCTACCGATTCACACTTGGTAACCCAACCCAACCCGACCTAGACAGATTAGAACGCAACTTCCCTAAAGGCACTTCCGACATGGCTATCCTTCGTAACTTACATTTAGCATAAACACTTTACTTGCATTTTGAAACTACGTATGAACTAAAACTACGGTTAAAAATGAGGCCTTCTGTCTTAGGTTCTCTGTGATATGCCCCTGCCCTCTACTTCCATTCGAAATCGTAACGTATTCAAATTTTAAATCGTATTCGATCGTAAATCGTATTCAAATTTTTAAATACATATAAGGCCTATACAATGATTTGAGTTCAGCCGACGTATGTACTAGTCATGCTTTCATCCTCCAAAACAAGCCTGGTATCAATAAACCAGCCCGGAGGAACCGAAAGCTTAGATGACCTATTCTAGACTGAATCTGGGCCATGTGTGTGGTAGTGCGTTGTATGGCGCTACCGCCCGCATGTTTCGGGTATCGAATCGCGGATTGATACCCTAAATATGCAGCTACAAATACATAAGTTAATCCAGGGGTATGATTTTCGATTTCCTTGAGAACTCAGAACATGCTCATTCTCCTGGTTTTCCATGGAAGCTTCTCTTAAAACTCATTTACCATAAGTAGGGAGAAGCATAATGTGAAATTTCAATTGAACCGTGTACCTTGTTCAGATGCGGCGGACCTGTCACGAACGAAATTGGAAGAGATGTTCTCGCATCAGACGCCCGAGCATGCCTATAACATGTGCACGATTCCCTCCTCGGGCTCTCAGCAGCTGCTCGTACAGTCCATCGGTTGCGTCCTCACTCTTTACCATGGTGAGTCTGAGCATTCATGAGAAACAAAAGCTGAACTATCGCAATGGATCTGCATCCCGAACGATGACTGTGGAACCAGCTGCGGTGTTCGCAAAGTGAACTAGAAGCTGAGAACAGAAAGGAAAGGGGAATGAACGAATGAGAAAACAGATATTTATGTAGAGACGTATAAGGCAAATTAAAGAACGATTTAATACTTTTGAATAACACAATACTTCAATGGGTTTTGTGGCAGTGCTGAGTGATCAGTTGCACTGGACCCTCCCCTCTGAACCCTGCCTGCTCGTATGGCTGCCCTTCATCCAATATTCTGCCAATCCTGTTGAGGATAACGCGTGGGAAAAGTTAGTAGGCTATAGACAGTAGGTAGCTTGGGCAACAGTTGCCAATATCGTCGGGACCACCCTTTTTGTTCAACAACACACTCTTTGTAGTTTTTCACGACGTCGGCACTTGTATCCAACAGGTACCGCACGAAGAGCCTAGCCAGAGTTTTGACGATAAGGGGTGGAAGACTCTTCAGATGTTCTGGTTTGAACCTATCGGAAGCGGGCGCCGTACAATTTTCAGGCAACGCAAGTTCGCACATCAGTTGGTGATTGCTTGTGACTCGCGCGATTCCACCTTGGCGTATGGGCCCCAGGGGTAGTATTCCGAGGGAGACGCCTCTCATGATTCGCAGACCCTCTACTTTCCTAGCCCTGTCGTAAAGGTGCTCGATGAGTGGGTTGTATTCCTAATCAAAGTTGTCGATTACAGAATCTTCTTATAAATTTGCGAGGAAAGCGGACTGATCCCAATTGATGATAGTGTTGGAGATTCGCTTCTTGAATTTCGCAGCTCTTTGCATGTACTGGAACAGATTCCTTCTAAAACCTAAGAACAGCCCCGACTTAGTCAAACTTTTGGATTGAACATAGTGTACTCTATCTCATTAGAAAACCGTCTATCAGGCGATTCTCAAGTCTAATGCAAATGAAAGGACATCAATCCTGTTGCTTGGTATGGGTCGGAATGATAAACTCGAACAGACTCTCATCTTGCTCGTTCCATTCCGTTCCATGAGTACCGATACGTAACTTTTCAGCCATTACTTTCGCGTTGACGTTGACATCACCAACGATGGCCACTGAACAGTGTATGGTCCTCTATGTGGAGCTATTTCATGTCCATGTAAAACGCTACCACCTCCTCTTCTTCGTAGTTTGATGTGGGTGCGTAGGCAACAAAACTATTAGAGCTGTGGTTGAGCCACATCTTCTCAATCGCAACCGTTCCATTCCGATTGGCAAGCTTTCGTGCGAATCTACATTCATGGCCAAGTGCGTATTGACGAGGACACCGAAACCGCCCATGCCTCTGCTGTCGCATGTTCCAGGGAATAGTTCTTCTCCAGTCCCGAAAACAGTGTGCAGCGGGCGGTGCCTTCTCGCTTGGTCACTCCCGTAACGTCGTACTTTACCTTACTCGCTACATCATCAGATCTTGATACGCTTCCTATGCAAGCGTACACACATAGAAAGTACAGATCGCCCTTTGGCTCCTGACTTGCAGAAGTGCTTCCAAAGGCGTAGTCAGAGACAACCTTCCCGCGCAGTGTGGCTCTCAACGTACGACTGGTTGAAAACCGTCTATTTTCTTCCTTTCATTTCTGACACATATGAGTGCTTTCATGTACATATATCGATCTAAAAACTGCGATCATGGCTTTGTGTCTCACTGCAAAGATTAGTAAATATTCAATCGATTTTTTAAATTAGTGCCTGTTGTGGCCGGCTCCATAGCGTGTTATAATGGTGTGGTGAACTTCTTCCTACTACCTCTAAAACCATAGGTTCACCTGAAGAAGTGTCATTAATGCCTTTCCCTATCACCTTGAAAAACTTTCACTTCTCGTAGGGTGTGGTGCAGTAGAAACGAAATTGTCGCGTCACGGCGAGAGGGACGCCTAACGCGAAGGAATGTGGCAGAACGCAACAACGAGTAAGAATACAGGAACATAGGAACTTCAGTAGGATCATGCCTGACTAAGGATCGCTAT